TATTCGTTCGGTGCATTTTTTGTAATCATTACTCATAGTATAAATTATTAATTTTGCAAATCCCAACAAGATGTAAATTGAAAGAATTCTGGTGCAGATAGAATGAAAAAGAACAGTTTTGATGCTTGAGGCACTTACAGTTCATCTATTATTGGATTGCATTAATCATAGAAATATGTTTTTTTAGCATAGTCAAATTAAATTTGTTTTCCACTGGAAATTGAAGAAGATAGTTCAGAGAAGAGGCTGGATGTTCTGTTTGTGCACACAATCTTTTGGGGAAAGTAGGGAGCAAGTAAACTGTAGAATTCATCTTAAACTCCATGGCCATGTTGCTGATGATGAAATAAGAGAAATATGTGTTAATTATATTATGTACATGAAAAAATAACAAAAGAATAGTCAGTTAGCTACAGTTACTCAGCAGGATTAATAACTATAATACTCAGACCTACATGTTCTGTCAAACAGGTGAACAACCTCTCCATGTTGATCATGAACATTTAGTAGAATGATGATATTTTGAAATGGTTTGCAATTCCCAAATGGATTTTGACATTCTTAGAATATTTACAAAAGTCAATTTTCAGACCCTTGGAATTGAAAAATCTTGCAAATGAATGGCATCTGAGTTAAAATTCCCATCAGATTGGATAGTTATCAAGGTCCAATTCAGTACTACGCTGCTGGTAGAGCAAATGCATATTTCTCCTGCCCAACCCCACCTCCAGCCTAGTGCAAACCATTGATAGGTGCATTACATGTAAAGCCTACACCATATGGAACTATAGGTGGATCTTTGCTGACGTCATTGTTTACATTTTTTTATTTTTTCGGCTAACACCACATACACACTGAATATTGAAAGAACTCTGTAAGATTAGCTGTTATTGATAATTTGAGCTAAATMCATRRWATAGATTYGKAGTAATATGGTTTTCAAAACTACGAATTTTACAAAGAATGTATGGGCTCATTAGCATTTTGCCACACAGCCCGATTTTCCATTGTTCTCAAAACTAATATATCGTGTTTAAAATTGCATGCAAAAAGCTCAAAGTGTTGTGAAATCTGTAGATTTACGAGGTTTTCTAAGTTTTGATTCAAGTTTTCTTATTTCGTGGCTTTTTTCTGTGTGGCAAAGTCTGTGTGGCAAAGCGCTTAAATGAGCCAATACATTCTTTGTAAAATTCGTAGTAAATTTTCATGGAGTGCTAATTGAACTAATATCTGTAAATATTCAGTATAGATTTGGATTTAGCTTATTTAAAAGCAAAAAAGCTTATGCTAATGAGGGAAATCATGTAAACAAAGATCCGCCTATAGCATGTCTTGCATGTGGGACATTGATTACCTAACTGCGCATGCCTGTGCACTTAGATAAAACGAAAATGCCTATGACAGTATTTATGCGCAGTCACATAAAAAATGTTATAAAAAATCACTTTTTTAAAATCATTTGTTATAGCACCACATATGCACCTACACTTTTGCCAACTCAAAATGAAGCATCGAAAGAAATAGCATTTAATACTACAGCAAAACTGATATAATCAATCTTAATTTATTGAACTTCGTTGTCTGTCTAAATGAAAATCTCTCAGCCATGTTGTTTGAGCGTTGTATATACGAAGTAAACGAATTTTAATTCTGTGATATAAATATATTATCTTTGGTACCTACAAAAACAAGTGTATGAAATAGTACTAACGAACCAATGTTGAATCAATTACACAATAGAAGACAAAGTAAAGTATTTGAAAACTGTTGTTGATTACATCATTATCAAGCCTAGGTGTCCTAGGTGTACAACACGCTAATGGGCTAGTTTGCATTTAGTGGCGTTGTTTACGCTTCCTTGACTAGAAAACTGGACATGATATCAAAGTTGTTTCTTTACTTCCTCACCGATCATAGTAAGAGGCCAAGCATATTCTTTGTGGAGTGGCCAAAAACAATATGGACTTATTTGAAATTACCCAAAAGGCTAATTATTACCAGTTCTTAGCCAATCACATTCAAGTACTTTAAGATGGGATTACACAGAGTAATTATTACCTGTTGATATCCAATCAGAGATAAGTAACAGGTAATAGTTACTTCTCTGGKTAATTATTACTCTTACTCAGAACAGATGCTCGTGAAAAACCGATATCCAAGCAAATTGGAAGGCAAACTACGGCCTGATTAAGTACAAGTTTAAGGGATGAAGCGAAATTCATGTGTTTTTTTGTTATAAAATTGCAATTAATTACTATTTTTGTACTTTTCGGTAGATCACGCGATTTCCTGTACCGCGCATTTTAATCGAATACGGGTAATAATTAGCCGAATTTGTGACATCATCAATTGAGTACTCTAGATCGCTGATTGAGCTAAATATCATGCCAAACAAAACTTTGGTCAATGCTTTAATACTGTTCCAAACACAAAAGAAATCGGTGCATAGCAAGATTTTCAAAAAGCGAATTTTAAATGAGATGTATGGTCAAAAAACAACTGTAGGAACCCACCTTTAAAGCCTTTTTTACACTTCTAGCAAATTTGTTGCGTGACACGATCTGCCATTTTTACAGAAATATTATCACAGACCCAAATGCAATCTACACTTGTGTAAACAGCCTGAAAATTTTCACACAATTCATGGCGACAGCTCACAGGTTTGCTACACCAAAAATGTTAACATGCCCCAAATTTTAATTCAGGTCACACAACGAAAGTTGCAGCTCATGTTGCATGATGAATTGCTAGTGTACACGCACAGGCCTTTAGCAATTACAGCTTGAACAAAATATTGATTTTCATTCAAATTGGCAATTTGGTCTTAATTATCAGAGT